GCACCAGTAACACCTACGCTTAGTGCACACATTTCCGAACTCGTTAAATATATAAAACCATCTAACATGCACTCTATATTTTCTTGTGTACGAAACGGTAAAAATTGCAGATGCTTTTCTTGCACCCATGCTAATAAATAACTTTTAATATCTTTTGGAACTTCTTCATCCAGATTGGTACTGATTTTATCAATAGTTTTTCCATTAAGTTGAAACATTGGCTCAACTTTTAACACTGCTATATCATTTCCAAATAGTTCACCAAAGTAATAATGTTCGTGCCACATAAGATCTACAACATTATGACGGTCACCATCGATCAAGTCCATTTCATTGGTACCTACAACTACTGTGTAGTCTGTAACATCTTTACTTTTGAGAAAACAATGTGCTGCGCTCAGTACAAAACGTTCGTCAATAATTGAGACAGTACAGTAATGATGCCAGCTGTTGTCTTCCATGCGTTGCAAGGAACCCACAAACGGGACTGGTGTTTTTGCGACACCATCTAACTTAAAAGCTGGTATAATACTGAAATGCGTAATAAAAAGTGAGAATATTGCAAATACAAGTTTACTCCACAGCAATCTACGACGCGTCTCCATAATGTGTTATACAAAGTGAAGGAGTTCGCGTATTGTGCCTTCTTGAAGTCTGGGTCAATATTTTTATCATACTAACCTTTCTTTTTTTTTTAAATTTGTTAAATATTGTCGATGTTGTAAGGCATGGATAATGCGCATTTTCGCGGTTACAGTCGTAGATAATTGCACTGATTAATTGGCACGTATATATATTGTAGAAAAACTTTAAACTTTAACTATATATGCAAAAGCTTTAAATTATGAAAAACTTATTTATTAAAGGTATCTAACCCAAAGAATGGAAAATGAATCCATAATATATGAATCACAAAAAGTGTATTTGATTCATGAACTTTTTATATGTCTTCATATTATATAAAAAATATGCATGCCATTTTACCAAACTTATATCATCAAAACTATACTGTGAGATACATTGTATCAAAGATAACGTAGCATGAAAATATTTCACCAAACCATGAAACAGAATGGAAGAAAAAACATCTTAAAACATTTATGGTTTTGCAATATTATATAATATGATATGGACGATTGTTGATAACACCAGGGACGGAACATATCACACAAAGGGTTTAATGCATAGGCAGTCTATTCAGCAATTCAAACAGATTTCTAATTATAATACAATGATCTTCATTTAGTAAATGATGTAACAATAGATAATGGGTGGCACTATTTATTGAAATTTCATTTGGAATAACAATATATTCCATTTGTTCCACGACCCTATCTAATGTCCTGACTGTGCCTATGGATGCTATGGAGATTTTGATTATAAATTTTCATTTTTCTGTATGGTTTCATATTTTTTGCAAAAGCTTTAATAATTCAGTACCAAATACTTTCAGCATTCGATACTTTTTTCTGGTTAATGTACTATCTACCGACTCTTTTACTTAGTATTGCTATTCGTTTCGACTAATAAAATAAATGATTTGATTATAGCTTAATATTGTTGAAAATATTTGAACTAAAAAACTAAATAGATTTATTTATAACAGAGTA